CGACTACTACTGCTACTCCTACTACTACTACTGCTACTGCTACTACTACTACTACTACTACTACTACTACTACCTATTACTGCTACTGCTTACTGCTGCTCCTGCTGCTGCTGCTGCTGCTGCTGCTGCTGCTGCTACTGCTACTGCTACTGCTACTACCACTACTACCACTACCACTACCCCTACGGCGACGACTACTACTACCACTCCTCTTCCTCCCCGTCCTCCTCCTGTGTCTCCTCCTGCTACTGCTGGGCCTGCTGCTGCGTCGACGACGACTACCAGTAGTCGCTACCAATGCGACGATTCATGCTGATGTCCCTACATACAGCATCTTGTCCGCGCGCTTGTGCCTGCATGCGCATGTACTCACCTATAATATACGGATACACTTATTGAGGAGGCAATGATAGCCGAGAACAGACATAATAGACACACGGTCTTGCATGAATGGGCATGAGCGCACGGTGCAGATGCAACACAACGACATGATGATTCGGAATCAGGCGCGTTGTGATAATAGACAGGCAGAGAAAGAGTGCGAGAGAGAGCCGAGTGCGCCAAAAACCAGCGAAAAAACCAGGCCGGTCCTCCTCCTCCTCCTCCTCCTCCTCCATGTCTCTCCTCCCTCTGACTGAACATGGAAATCGCACCGGTGCACATGCAGGCGGACAAGCAGTGTGCGGTTGCGAGTCCTTTCTTGGAAACACGCAGATGTCTCCCCCGTGCACGTAGAGAGAACGGGAGACAAGAGAAAATGAGACAGCGAGACGAAGAGAGGAAAAGACAGAGACAGAGAAAAAGAGATCGAGAAATCGACATGGAGAGAGAGACAGAGAGCGAAAGAGACAAAGGAAGGAGGTCGAGTTCTGATAGCTCCTCCGGTGTGGCCATCTGCCCTGACCGCACGGCCATCTCTTCCGTGGTGGTGTCCTTCAGGACTTGCCAGTACCAGGTGATGGGATCCTTGACAGGTTTCACGCTTCAGTAGTGGATGTTCAGACATTCAGGATTCCAAGATCGTTCGAATCAGAACCTCCTGCTACGATCAAGGCTTACAAGACTGTCAAACTCCTACGAGTGAACACGCTTGCTGCAGTTTGTGCGAACGACACGGCACAATGCTTACCTTGCGCCCGGCAGCTATAGAACGAGTCCAAATGCGGATCGGGAGTCCGCCTCCCTCCTTCTGGCCGTCAGCAGCTCGTAGCGGGCGATGGCATCCAGGATCTCATAGCCCGCCGAGATGGCCTCCTCGTGCCGCACCACCTCGCCCAGGGCTGCTGCTACCCAGTGTGCCGAAAAGATGACGACTGCAACAATCGATGACAGACGATGTACTACCGTCCTTCTCCGCCTCCTCCTCCTAATCGTGCTCCTACACTACTCTTTCTGCTACCTGCTGCCGCACTCTGCTGCTTCGTGCAAGCACTGGAAGCAGCAGCAGCAGCGGCAGCACTAGTAGCAGTAGTAGTCATAGTAGTAGCAGTAGTAGTAGTAGTAGCAGCAGCAGCAGCAGCAGCAGCAGGAGGAGTAGTAGTAGTAGCAGTAGCAGGAGCAGTAGCAGTAGTAGTAATAGTAGTAGTAGTAGTAGTAGTAGTAGTAGAAGTAGTATGTTATGTAGTAAGTAGTAAGTAGTAAGTAGTGGGTAGTGAGTAGTAAGTAATAGGAGTGAGAAGTCGTAAGTAGTCAGTATCCGTAGGTTATAAGCAGCAGACAGTAAGTAGTAAGTAAGTAGAGGAAATAGTACAGGTTGCAGCAGCATTCGGGGTAGCTGCAGCAGTTTGAGCAAGCATAATCTCGGGACCCGCTTTCGAACCTTCCCCTCCGAATTCAGCGTCATCTCTGCGACCAGCTGCGTCTCTACGCGGACCTGATATTAATGCAGGACTTGGCATCAAGTGTCTGCACACTCGGGGCCATGACTGTGTCATGTTGCTCGCTCACATCAACACTCAACCCCTGTTGGCAAACACCGAAAGACCGATCCTGGCGACTTGTTCAAAGGGCAACATGTTCAGCCCCTTCAGTTTTTACTATAAAGGGATACAGCGCAATTCCGAAGTACACCAAAGTCACTAAAGGCGATTCCCTGTAAGCTGGGAAATGGTGAAAACAAGTGGCCTTGGCCCCAGGCAGCAGCGGCGCATCCGGTGGCAGCTCGCGAAGCTTCCACGAAGGTGGAAGCGGCGCGACGAAGGCTATGCTCCACCTTGGGTTTAGGGTTCGTGCAGGGTTTAGGGTTTAGGATTTAGGGTTTAGGGTTTAGGGATTAGTGATTTTCCAAGTCCTGTGCTTCTGAAACGTCAGCGCAGCACCCCGTTTTGAACACGCACGCACCTTGCAGTGACTACTCCCGGGTTTAGCCGCCAGGATTCCATACTCAGGACCTTGAAGTCCTCGAGCCTCTCCGGAACCAGCTGCTGCCAATCGCGCATGGCAGACAGGTAGCTCTCGCGGCCTTGGCAAGTTGCCAACAGGCCTTCGTAGCTGATGTCATCCGCAATGAGCGACTCATCTGTGAGGAAGGGCAGGCTCTTGGCGAGCACGTCCTGCGTGAAATTCGGCAAGCAAGGCATCAAAAGGAAGTCCACCCGCTCGCACATCATGTTGCTTGCATAACCCAGAACCGCAGAACTCTCGCCTTGAAACTCGTAAAGCTGAACCCACCCGACTACGCGACTCTGACGACGACGACGACGACGACATCGACGACGTCCGCGACGACCACCACCGCCGCCGCCGCCCCCCCCCCCCACCACCACCACCATAACCACCACCACCGGTAAGTCATTCCTGAACTGATGCTGCTCTTGCCGCTACGGCTACTGCTGCAGCAACGACAACTGCTACGACAGGAAGAAACACCTGCTGTTGCGCATGCTCTTACGACCAATCTTCCAGTTGCTGCGGCTGACCTGCAGACATGACCAAGTACGACACGTACAGGTCAACAACAACACAGTTCATGATGCGGCAGTACGAAGCACCATGCAAATTCACCATGATGATACCACAAGCAAAATGCGCCGCAATAAACCATAACAGTCACAGCACAAACTCCAACAGTAACAACTAGCGATGGGGAATCTAAACTCCAAAGACATCCTGAACCTTAAATTGCACACTCTGAAACCCCAAACTCGAACCATTCCAAACCCCAACCAAACCCAAAACTTGTCCACTTGGGGTCCCACTTGACCCCGAAACCTCCACAAACCCCTGAACCTCCTCCCTCCGCGGCCTCAGGGCTTTCAGGGCCGTTTGGCTCTGAGCTCTCTGACTGCCGTGCGGCCCGACGCCTGAGCCCCGGTTTCTAGAGCTTCAGTTTGGGGCTTTAGGACCATGTTTAGCAATTGGTTTCGGGTGCAAGGAGGTTACTTCAGGAAATACACAACTATCATTTGTGTCAGGCGGTGATGTGCCCCAAACCCGGCCAAGTGATTTCTCACCAAGGAAGCCACGTCAACGTAACGTGCCTGCAAACGGGAGCACGCCAAGGCCCACAAACGAAAAGCTGGGATCCTGCAGTAGTGCGACGGATTTGGGACTAACTAGATCACAAAACAAATTCCACGTGAATACCGGTCTCCTGCAACGAGCCCCAGAGCGAGCACGAATGGTCGCAGGGCGCGCGCCATGATACAACGCTGCACTATAAGACTATAACAAATGACGTTGTGATGTCTGATCCTTGCGAGACTCTGGACGGCATTGGGCCTTGAGGCATTGAGGCCTTGAGGCATTGAGGCCTCAAGCGTAAACTCACTGTAGTTGCGGTTAGATGCGGTCAGAAACGTCCTGTGGCATTTTGCTGTGCACCCGTTTCTCGGCTTGCAAGCCGGATGAAACCAGACAGCGCAATGAGGTTTCGTGCAGTCAAAGCTGCCACCTACATCTGCAAAGCAGTGCAGCTTCGGGGCCTGCAGCTGGTGCATCCTCCACCTGGAGCCACACGTACGGTTTACAAGGCAAAGGTACAGCCAAGCGTGGTATTGCCTACGCCTGCTATACCTCTGGATCTGTGCGGAATGCCATTTCGAGAGAAAGCCGAGGCATTCGATCTGATGAGCCAGGTGTGACCTCGCAGGTGGTAAATTAAGCCTACAGAACCCTAAACCCTCAACCCTGAAAAAGAAGCCCTAAACGCCCTAAACTCCTAACCCCTAAGTGTGAGAGGTCACGCGAGCCTCTGATTAGATGCTTTGGTGTGTTGATTCTTGCGCCGCCGCTCTGCCGAAGCCAGGCCTAAGGCGGCAGCCCTGCAAATGAAGAACCACTGAAAAACCTAGGCTAAAACCTGCGAGCTCTTCCAGAGACGAGACTTGCCTTGTGCTGTGGCGATACCGACCTTGGCCCTTTCTTGCCCCGTGGCACGCGCCTGCTCGGAAAACCGAAGAAAGCTGGTAGGTTCTGAGTGCGGAGATCAGAATGCAGCGCTCAAAACAGGCAGCTGCGGGGAACGACGAGTAGAGAGCTTTCAGGGACAGTTGGCTGGTGGCTGCAGCGTGTGGTGTAGCAGCGGAAGATGAGAATCAGGTAAGAGTGTGTTTTTGTAGTTGCTGCGTTCCTGTTGCGCAGGGTGCCTTTGAGCTGGCTGATGTTGCGTGGGGTGTGTTCATTAATTTGTGATGTCACGGTCGGCTCACTCACTCGCTGCTCGCCTTGGGATGCTAGCTTCGTGCGGGGCAACCCTTCTCTGTCGTTGTTGGACACCTGATTTTGCGGTCGCCGCGGGACCAGTACAGCAAAAGCAAGGACGAGTTCAAAAACGATGCATGGAAAGTCTGAAAGAGCCCGATGACCCGCTCCTTTAGATCGCATATGACTGGTCTAGCGGCATGAACAGATTGGAACATGAAGCTGCGAAGAAAGAAGAAACAGCAAAAAACAGAAAGACTGAAGAAACAACTCTTTTTCAACATTGGGAAGCCCATTTAACACAATGACAGGCCCGGATAGGCAGATCTCGGTATTTCACAGCCTCACCCCTGCAGCTGCAACCCGAAACCCGCAGACACCAAAGCCTGTTGTCCCGGCGACGGGGTCGAAGATCTGAGACAAGCCAAGTCGAGATTTTTAGGATTCTAGAAGCCATCAAGGCGTTGGGATTTTGGGACCCCTGTTGAGGGTGTTTCTTCAGGGTTCGGTTCTGTTTATCTTTGACAGTGCTGAAGTATCAGCTGCAAAACGGTCGCCGGGAATCTCGCCTCTTGCTGCAGTTGCAACATTGGGGATCTCCTGAGCTCATTCAAAACTTTTGGCAGGGGACAGCAGCATCTCGCTGTCACATGCTGGGGAGCTAAAGCTAAAACATCCAGCGCGAAAGCACTAAGGGGCCATCCGAATTCGGAGCAGCACTTCTGGACCTGGATGCTGAAAAGGCTCTTGAGAGCTTTCAAGGGCTTCCCTCTTTCGGCTCCTCGCCAGAAGCACCATCACTGTATCCATGGAAACCGAGCCGCAACAGGCCCACACAAACCAGGCGCAAACCAGGGACAACCATTGCGTTTAGCTGACTGAGAAATCGAATGTTCCCACCGTCCGCCAAGGTGTTAATCTAGCAAGAAGCAGTAGCATGGAGGAGCGAGAGCAGTCACTACTGTAGCAGGCAGTAGCACGGAAACAGTCGCTGCAGTCGTCTCAGCAGCAGCATCAGTCACGGGAGCAGCAAAAAAGGAGCAACCGGTGCAGGTTGGACCTTGTGGGAGCTGCAGAAGCGCGCCACACACGCCTGGCAAGGCTCAGGGAAGTTAGGGGAAGTTTCGGGCCCCTGGGGGGCTTAGGGAAGTTCAGAGTTCACCACCACGTGGAGCTCTGAAACGTCGGATCCCGGGCCTAGCAAGCTCGCCAGGACCAGCGGACTCCCCCGAGGAGGGCTCCTGAAGTACCAAAGTACCAAAGCCTACACCCCAAACCCGGTTGCCCCTAAACCTCACCACAGTCCTTTGCCACCGCACCCACGGATCTGGACCTGGCTGCTGGGTTGAGGGCAGAGACTTCGGGGTGACTCTAGGTTCGGGCTGTGTCCAGCAGCTCTCGTGGTGCTCAGTGCCCAGAGCGTGTGCAACAAAAGGAGGCCGTAACATCACCAAACCCTGTAGCCCCTTTCTAGATGAAGGGCTCCTCCCCTTGGAACCTTTTCTAGCTTTCGTCCTTGTGTCCTAGCATTCTTCAAAGCAACCCTGAAGCTCCGTGTGCACCATAGAGGACTGAGCAGGAGCCGGCAGAGCCTCCTGGCTGGCGGATTGGGAACCTGGGGCTACTCAAGCTTCGAGAATCTTCGAGACACGCCTGAACACCGGGCCTTTTTAGTGCTGCACCGCTGGAAAACACATCAACAAACGGGGGTTTCCGAAAATAGGGGACCCGAATATAGTACCCTAAATAGTAGGATCCTTATTAAAAGGACCCCAAAATAAGGTACCCCTGATTTTCGGAAACTTCCAAATGTGCTGAGCCATGGACTGTCGCTGGTTCCTGAGCAGGGCCTCGGTCATGAGGCCAAAGGCCAGACTTGTCTGTGGTTCTCTGGGAGTCTACGTCGCTTCAGATAGCTCTTTCAGCTTGGGCTGGAGCCGCCTGGGTACCTAAGAGGCCTCCGAGTCCAAGCCACTGCATTGCCCCGAAATTCTTCTTCCCAGTCTACGAGTTTTAAGTGAAGCATCGCTCGCTGCCTGCCGATCGCAACTCCAAAAACCGGCATCAAACCGGAATTGCCATGCTTCTGATGCAGTCTTGCGATTTCATGATATGGTGCATTGTGAGCCGGCTTGCCTTGCCGGCACAAGACTCTCGGCAACTGTCTTCTTGACTTACGGTTCATTCGTAGCTTTGTCCTCCTTGTTATTTCTCTTCTTGTCCCTGCTTACATTCAGTATGCCGGCGTTGGTACATCTCTGACTTCACTGCGTCTTTCCCAGACAGCTCGTCCAACAGAAAGGCCCACAGCTGCACTGAAAGCATCTCCGAAGTTAAAGGCTTCCGAGGGACCTGTCGGAGAATGCCGGGCACCGTGTTCGGGCTCCTCGGCTGTCCGCATGCCGGTGATGAGTTCTGCAAGCCGGAGACGAGGCCTCGGGGATGTCGAAGCTCTCCACCGCCGGCTTCGTTGCCGGCTCGAGCTCGGAGCCTGCGAAACTGCTTTGGGTGCGGAGGGCCGGAAGGGGGGGGGGGGGGCTTCGTGCCAGTGCCTGGCTCGTCCGAGGGCTCCTGAAAGGCTGTCTCTGTGCTGGAACTTCGATGAGCCCCGGGGCATGTCCCGTGTCCTTGACAGGCTCCTCGACCTGAGGCGCGCCTGAGGCGTCCGCACGGACGGAATTGCACTGAAAGTCCTGGCCGTGCAAGCGGCCTTCCGCCTCATCTTGAGGCTCCTGAGCGTTGCACATCGCACAATCAACAGCGCCACCCAGAAAGAGCGACGCAGGCCTGGGTGGCATCTGGCTCCATGGTCCCCGCCTCACCTGACGTTGCCACAGGAGTCTAAGGCGAATGCTCAATGCAGCCGGAAGCTCGCCTTGGGAATGCTCGGCACCCTCAGCGACGGGCTCCTATCGACACCAACAGCACTTGCAACAGCTTGCAACAAAGACTCTGAGGAGGGCCTCAATGGCCTCAGCCTCAGCCAAGTCGCGGTCGCCTTTACGAGAGAAAAAAAGTGTCTTTAGAGCTGTTGGAGCCTAAACCCTAAACCCTAAACCCTAAACCCATCTCTTAAAACCTCGCCTTCCTCTGGCCGCTCACTCTCGAGCTCTCCGGGCTCCGGCTCCGGGCCTGGGTTCAATAGGAAAAGCCTGGGGCCTCTCTGTAGGCTGGGGAGTGCGCTGGAAGTCGCTGCGGCCCCGCCATGCTCCTCAGGCCACGGTATCTCTGAACAACTTTGCTGCATAGGTACATCATGGTACATCACACGATGGTAAGTGCCGGTCATTCACCGTGGCAGGCTCCGGCTCGTCCGGGGCACCTCGGACAGCGCTTCTCCAAGTCTTCGTCACGTACAAACATCATGCCTAGAAATCTTGTGCGGGCGAGTCGAGGCCACGGCGCTCGTTCTGCTGGTCACCCTGCGCTTGCTTGTGAGGCTCCTCTTCAACAACTGTCACCGACCTACTGCTGAGAGCAGCACCTGACAATGCCTGGTCTTGCTCCCCCAACCCACAATTAATCAATAATGCAAAGCAGGCCATTCGTCAACAGCAAGCGAGCCTGACAAACGATCCAAGGAGCAAACCTTCATTCAAGTCTCGATGCATGATAAGCTTTGGACGGGCCTAACCTCTAATGCTGACACCACGAAGAGGAGAGCAGGAGTCATGAGCTTAGTCGGAGACCCAAATATGGCAGAGACAGCAGTCAGCGCAGCCTGCCTTGTCGTCGTTTGTACCTGGAGGGCCACGGCGGGACCTCTGCATGAAAACACGCCGCATCTTCTGAATGGGCTTCATCTCCTGCGAGCACAATGCCATAGTGATAGAAGCACTCAGCTTTGACAGCAACAGTGATGTCCTCCTGCTTCTGCGCATTGCTGCCATCTGCTTCAGGCTGCGTCGTCAGGACCTTCTCGCCCCGACCAGAGACTTAGAGAAGCGGACGAGAAGACATCTGCGGTCCTCCCTTGAAGCAGCTTTCAAATTCATGAAGTCAGGTCCCTCCGATGCCTCAGCGGTTTTGCAGCTTCCGGCACCTTGCTCAGCGTCCTGCACATGCGAGGACAGGCAAAACAGCGCCATTCTACACGGCAGTGCCCGCTCCCACCTCCTCGGGAGCTTCCTGGGCAGTCGCTTCCTTGTCGTCCTGCCTTTGACAGAGGATTCGTGGAGGATGTAATAATCCCCGACTCCCCATCACCTCCCAACTCCAAGTCAGAACCGAGGTGCACGGCAGCATCTTCGATTGTAGCATGGACCGAGTCATCCACGGACTCCACGTTCAATGACTCCGGCGACTCTGCTCGGGTTGCTTCCGACTGCTCTCGGTGTACATCCTCTTGTGCCTCAGCAACCTGCAATTTTTGAGGAGAGCTCGGCTGGTTCCTTGTCGGACTAGGCTCGTCGTCGGAGGGTGCAGAATCAAACTGAAGCTCTGCTTCACGTCGCTCGTCCTTCTCTTCCACTTCCTCATTGCCGCAACAAGGACACGCTCATCACAGCTGGAGATACAAACCAGCAGAGCAGTTGGTCTGTACTGTGTTCACTGGCAGAGGCCCTAACACCTGTTAGGGAATACTGCGGCTCAGACGCCCCGCCAGATACACCTGCTGAGGGAAGATCAGGTTCGGGTCTCTCCAGTTTTGCCACCGACTGCGGTTCCTGCAGTGCCACTCAGATGCATCGTGACAGGCTCTGAATTTCTGCACCAAGGACCAACAAGAAGTCCCGGGATCCCTTATCACATCCAGGTCACAGCCTCATATGGATCGATTTCCATCAGCACCTAAGTGACCGAATCCCATGCAGCACCGCTACCCCCGCACTATCTTGTTGGTCTGACAGGCTGCAAGAACTGTTCTCTGATTAAGCCTATCACATGCCGACGCCATGCCACATCGTCGTCCTCGAGCCGCTCGACCATCGCCATGACCTTTCACTGCCACCGTGCCTAACCGGTCGAACTCGTGGGCAATGTGTACTGACCAATCCCAGCTTGCTTGACCACAGCAATGAAATTGCTGCTGAAAAATGTCCGGTCTTATGCGCATTGCATTATCATCCGGCGTGTGATTACAGGCCGAAAGCCAACGCGGTCCTGGCCTCGCCGACCAAGCAAGCTGGAGTGCAAGGACAGCGAAGGATAAGGTGACGAGCTTATCTAACAGTCTGCGTTCTGAAAAGGCTCTGTGATAGCTTCCGTATCCTAGCTGCAACTCTTCTACCGTTGCTCAGCTGACTCAACACCGTACTGAGCAACATGATGCCCTGTCTTCAGCAGCAATGCTTCGGCACAGCAGGAAGAAAGAAAGCGAAATGTCGACTGGCCACAGTGCGGAACGTGCACGCAGAAATGCAAGACGTCAACGGGCATTGAAGTTGTATGAAGTTGTCTCAAACGACATGCGACTCCGTAAGCTCTTCATCAAGTCAACATTGGTCATTCAGAGGCTATGTGTTCGTAAATGCTTCGATCACCCTTCCTTCGTGGCTGGCCGTACAATGGTGACAAAACACGAAACAACCCGTCTGAATGTGCAGTTTGCGTGGTGCTCGATTCGTGCTCATGACTCCCGTGCAGGTTTCATGCCCTATAGAGTTCATACCATGCTTATATTTCTAGGTCCGCAAACTTTGCCTCAGCTCCACGGCTCAATCTTTTGATGACGACAAAGTGCTCCTACAGAGTTGGAGCTCGCCAGCGTACAGAAAACTCTTCTAGCCGGCCTCCGACTCCGTCGTTCCTTTCGCCCAGAGTCGCGCAGCCGCTTGGGGCCGACATCCCGTCAGACGGGAAACTTTGGCCAGGCCACTTCGACAAAAGAGAGGTGCGTATCCAAGAATTGCAGTTGGGGTCTGCGCGTGGGCTAGCATGCAGCTGCCGGGATCTGGCTTCTGCGAGATGCTGAGGCAGTTTGCTGCCATTGCCTAAGATATCAGCACGATCTCCCCATGAGGCCAAATCGGGACTGCATGGTGGCAGGGTTCATGAGCCAGCTCACCGCTGGATGGTTCTCCAGTCGCGATGGGATTTCAGCATTCCCCGGTCAAAAGCTGGAGACCAAATCCAGGCCTCCAGCCCAGGGTCACGCGTCGTAGGTCGCGCGTGTCCTGAGCAGACATCCCGGGGCCGAGACTGCCTTCCTACGGTCCTACGACCTCGCCCGGCATGGAAGTGACATCCTGTGAGAAGGATCGGTGTGAATCGCTCCCGCTGGGCCAGGGCGGCCAGGGGCCTGCCAAGAGAACTCAGGTTACATCTGATCAAAATGGTTGGAACTCTCGGCAAATCAAGGGTCTGTAGGCGCTGAGTGCCTCCGTTTCGCTGCCATTACGGAGTTCAACATCAACTCCTGCTGTTGACTTCGGAGCTGCGGAAGGCAATGCTTCCAAAACGCCACAGACCCAAGCACAGTCCGAGTCGCAGCTGTTGCAGCCATCTCATAAGAACGTCAGCTGCTCAGAGACCTCATCTGCGCGGCGGGCTCAAAGCACGAGGTCAGACAAGGAGCAATGGGTTATGCCATGTTATGCCATGTTATGCCTCTAAGACCTTTTCACCGGCGAGCAGAAGCCGCAAGGCCGTGGGATCTCGCACTCGCCAGGCCGAGATCTTCAAGCAAAGCGATCAGCGACTCACGACTGCAGTACCAGTGACGACGCCCCTCTCCTCACCTCGACATTCATCTTGGAAGAGACCAAATCCATGTACATGCGCACAACGTAGAACGTATACCGCTCAGCAGCATTCCAAATCGTCAAGCCGACCATGCAGAGGATGGTGACTGCGTGTACTCTGCTGCTTAAGAAACAAAACAAAGAGAACAAAAAGCAGGCAAAGGTCAAGAGGGCATGGTAGCAGATGTAGCCGGCAACGTAGGACATGGGAAATTCACCCGTCTCCACGTAGATCGCGTGATCATCCTGGGTACCCAGGAACCTCGCAAGAATCTTCCCGCGAGGACCGCGCACAACATAGTGAAACGGGGTGTCGTACCCATCGCGAGCCAATCGAAGTCCACACGTAAGGAACCAGAAAAGATAGATGCAGACCCAGACAGCATAGAAGCCACAAGCACTGGAAAGGATGTCTCGTAGAGGATCGATGCTTAAGAAGAAGTCATTGATTGAAATCTCTGGCCACACCGCCTCAACCATGTCACGGCTCCACGCCAAATGAAACATCGCCAGGGCTGGCAGCAGCTGCAGCCACGCAGAGAGCATTTGGTCAAAGCTGTGGAAAAGCATCGCATTTCTTAGGATCGCTGGGGACAGGAGGAGCGGTCCATTGCAAAATGCCCAAGCCGTGCAGAAGATCACTTTCTGCGATTCATTCGTTGAGGAAGATACCAAGAAGATGACCCAGAGGAAGAAGCAAAGTATTGAGATCCAGCCCACATCCAGTAGGTAGAAGACCTCCTTTGGTTTAGCACGGACCATGGCGGTCCAGCGGCATGGCAACCACATGAGAGTCTGGAGCAGGTAGACCAGCAAGAAGTGGCCAGGAAATGCTCCGAAGGACCAGGAGATCAGAAGTGTGTTCGAAACGCTCAGGACAAAGTTGGTTTTTGTGAAGGACTGCTTTGCCAAGTACTCAGCTTGGTCCTCGACGACCTTGAGGAGACTCCGAAGCAACTTCTCACTTGAGTTTGGGCTGATGTCTTCAAGCGCCCCATCGCTTTGCAGCAAAGGCTCCTCAAGGCAGAAACAACAAACAAACAAAAGCATCGACAAAGCAGTCCGGAATAAAACCCATCTGCTCCTCCAAGCTCTTCAAGGAATCCTTGTAGCTCCCCATCAGGAAGTACGTGTAGCGCTTCGCTCCATTGTTGATAATGAACACGAGGATGCCCAAGCAGATAAGACCTGGCTTACTTTGCAGCCCCACCCGTTTCTCGAGTTCTTCTTGGACCAAACGATGGACTTTTGTCTGAAATCATAAAAGCCTGTCAAGCGGTCAAGCGCTGAGTCTAAACCCTGCGCACAAACTGCGGGGTGCTGTCGTGCAACCTTTAAACTCAGAAATACCACCCAATCAAAATAGCTTGAAAGTTCCGGCTTCGAAACCGAATTCCTGAGTCGTTGGCCCTCAAATGTCTGCAGCAGGGAAGCCGTGGACTTGGCAGCACGTCGAGCAAATCAATGCCAGCAAAGCCGCAGCAGTATTCAGCAGGGAATGCCTAGGCGAGGCAGCGGCTGATTCCGCCACCGGAAAGGCGACTACCACAGCAAAACAAGAAGGCTACAAAACGGACACTTTAGGGTTCGTAGCGCATGGGCGATTTAGGGAGATATATGGCATTTCAACTTCAGTCCAAACCATGAAATATGAAACTACATGAGAGCGACAACGACGAAGCCAGAACAAAACAATATGACTTAGTAAGCACAAAATAGCACAAAGACAGCTGGTATTGGAAATAGTTCGTCATAAGGTCCAAAGTGCACGAACATGTGGACCAGGACGTAGGACCTGGGATAATCGTCTTTCTCCCTCTGGGTCTCCAGCTCCTCCTGCATGTGCGTGGTACTTCTGTGCTTTGCTGGTTGTCTGTGGCGTGCGCTTTTTTGTTTCTTGGACTCTTGTGTCACGTTGTGCTTGCCTTGCTTTCTGTATGTCTGCTCATTGTCGGCTGTTTGTGTTCTGATATGGTGTATGGCAATTCGTTGCTTTTAACTGAACTGGAGTTGCTGCTGTTTTGGTTTAGTACCATATGTTGTCGATTACTAATATTCTTATTATTACTGCTGCTCTTCTTGCGGGTGCTATTGTCGTTGTTGTTGCTGCTGCTGTTGTTGTTGGTGCTCGTGGAGTTAATATCAATATTCTTAACATTCTTAATCTTCTTCATATTAGAATCTTCCTAGTGCTCTTAATATTATCCATAGTCGTAATGGTACTTATCTTGTTCTTGTTGTTATTGCTTAAGGTTGTTTCTTGCATGTTGATGATTGTTGCTTGCTGTTGCCTCTTGTTGCTTGTTGTGATTGTCGTTGTCACTGTCGTTGTTGTCGCTGTCGTCGCGGTGGTTGTTGTGGTTGCTTTGATTGTTTCGATTGTTTTTGTTGTGCTTGCTCCCGCTGCTGTGGGCGGGTGTTGGTGTTGCTTTTGCCGTTGTTGTTGCTGCTGTCACTGTTATTGTTATTGCTGCAGAAGTAGCTGCTGTTGTATAGCAGGTGATGTTGTTGTTGCTGTTGTTGTGATGTTGTTGGTTTGATGTTAAGTTATTGCTGTTGTTGTTGTTGTTGTTGGTGGTGGTGGTGGTGGTGGTGGTGGTCGTGGTGGTGGTGGTGGTGGTGGTGGTGGTGGTGGTGGTAGTGGTTGTGGTAGTGGAGGTGCTGCTGGCTGTGGCTGTGGCTGTGGTTTTGGATGTGGTTGTCGTTACGGTTGTGGTTTTGGTTGTGGCGGTGGTGGTTGTTGTTGTTGTTCTGGCTGCGGCTGCTGCTGCTGCTGCTGCTGCTGCTGCGGCTGCGGCTGCGGCTGCGGCTGCGGCTGCGGCTGCGGCTGCGGCACTGCTGTTGCTGTTGCTGTTGCTGT